GTGAAAAAGCTAGTTAGATTTCACTTGAATAAAATCAACTATATTTAGTTTTACTCACTGCCTGGTCCCAATTGTCATATGAATGAGAAGAAAAAAAAAGACAGTTAATGGCTCTGAACATTTGTGAGCCCAGGGCACCTACTGCATGTGTGAGATGCTCGCTGACAATGAGCCGTGGGTCTTAGATAGTGAGGTGCACCTGGATCCTCTCACACTACCCTCGCCTTGATTTCCCTGGCCCTCAATTAAAACAAACAAACAAAAAACCAAAACCCCACCACAACAAACAATGTTAAAAGAGACTACATTTCTAAGATTTCTCTATACTGATACTTCTCATCCTCATCAAGAAAAAGACAATGAAGCCAGAACAGAACTTGAGGCTCTTGAACGGACATAGTTAGGAGCAAAGTCGCACCGCAGAAAAAAGTGAGTCAGTATCAGCCCTCTAAGAACCAAGAACAGCAAAGGACTTGAGCTAATAAATACAGAGAGTGAAGAACAGCCTTTCTGAACATAACCTGTTTGTTAGAGAGCCGCTTCTGTAATCAGAAAACAGACTTGCCGGCTTGATGTATTTTAAAGGCCCTTTCCACCACCTTAGTACTGTAATTCTCTGTAGAGTGACAGAAATTCTCTCTTCTAAAGTGGTAAGTCATCTTTTGAGACAAACAGTATATAATGCAGGAGACCACATTACAGAAACAGGAAGAGCGTGTACTCCCACCAGCACATTACCGCGGCCTCCTGAGAGGGTACCTTCCTCAGCAGAGCTGGCTGGTCATAGCTGCCCCCTCTGGAAAACGTTCCATCCTTGTTATTGTGCAATACCTCGAGGTGGGACAACACGGGTTTCAGCAGGCAATGCAAATCTGACGGTGTGGAAAGAAACGGGACTGAATATGGCTGACAACTCATCCCCAAATCCTGAGTAAAAGATCCTTGTTATTTAAAGGGCACAGAGAAAAGGAATGCTTTACACATGTAATTCCCACCCTCATCCCAAGCAGCCCCACCCCCCGCCCCCCTGAAGGCTGGCCAGTGTGCCTGACTTTGACTTGGGAAGTCTTAACAAATAAATCCGGCTCAGTAAAGCTATAAATGGATCTGGCTGGTCTCAATGCAGCCCCAATGAATACAGTAGTTAAACGTTACTGTTAACCACCACAACAGAAACTACCAGCACGAACATGAGAGGAAAATCAGACAAGTTAACACAGAAACCAACACACAGTGCACGGGCTCTGTGTTGAGCGCTTCTCAGGACAAAATCATCAACAGCAAGAAAAATTATTGCCTAAGAATCTGCTGAGACTCACTGGAGGGGAATATTCTGGTTTTTCTTCACACAGTTAAAGACAAAAAGGAATTTTAAAAGGCAGAGCTATGACTCAAATGGGAAGACTGCTTCTAACCAAACCCTTCTTAAAACCAAAGAGAGAGTAAGGACTTGAAGTTCACATTTTCAGGATGGGAATATAGAGGGAAAATGGACAGTACCACGGTCATGGCGAGCAAACATCGCCGGCCAGTAGGGTGGGCAGTGCCTGTGAGATGGACCATGCCCACCCATGCTCGCTTTCAGAAGAGATTCTGGTCAGCTCAAAACCAGGACGTGGCTTTGGAGCACAGAGGGAAATGGAAGAGGAGCCATTTACAGAGAGAGAGAGCAGGACTGGAGATTCCTCATTAAATCAAGTCTGTTTCACACTTAGTGTCTGTGACTGGAATTCAAGAGACAAATTTTGAAAGCTAACGTGCCCTAAAGACAAAAGGTCAAACCGGAGACATGAAATAACTATATTAGTGACTCTGTTAAGTTGGCTGGTTGGTTTTTAAAAACACAGTTGGACGCCAGGACTCAGTGGACGTGCTGGTGGGTGACCTGCCCTCCTATCTACAAGGAGCTGGAACTGCAAATTTCAGGTGGTCATCTCAACTAAGTTGGGGTGGAAGGTACTTTGGAGCAAGCCCCAGGCCTTCCACCTTGGCGCCTTCTTCCTGAGGGCTCCTCGTAATGCAGGTGAGGGGCTTTCCCACCTGTGACCACGCTGGGATGGACACAAAACCTGTGAGAAGGTGGCAGGGCACCACAGTTCCCAGAGGATCAGCACTGTGAGACGGCCTTGAGAGGGGAGTCAACACTGTGAGCTTTGCTGAAAGAAACCAAGATGCCTGCCTGGGAGTGGGTGGCTCCAGAGAGTCTCAAGGATAGTAAGTGTGCTGCGTTGTCCTCCCCTGATGCTACGGTTACCGACAGACAGGGAGATGATGTACTGCGATGCTCCATCTTTGAAAGGTCCTGATGTCAAAAACATAGCAAAGTCACACATCTGACGAATTCAATTAACACACTGACGCACACTTTTACATGGACAACCGTGCTTAGAAACACATTTTTCTTTTCAATTGTTTATAACTGCCATATGAAATTGAGCGTCAGTCGTTGATGTCGAATGATGTTCCTTTTTTCATTAATTAAAATGTGCAAGACAGCTATAGCCGTCATTTGTGGCAACGTGTTAATCTAATGAAGGTGTCCTTTTAAACTAATAAAGGGGCAAGGGGATAATACATATGAATGGCAAGGTTACCACACCCCACGTGTTTAAAAGTCTTCTTCAAATAGGAAAAAGTAGCCCCTGAGTATGTCCTTTGGGGGGGCATGAAGGACAAACATGATGAAAGAACAGGGCAGAACCACCAAAGGGCATAAAACAAAGTCTTAAGAGCCTTTTTTTATTATTATGTATTTTTAGGTAAAAAGCTGTTTAGGGTTTCTAACTTAATTATGACCTCTAAAACCTGAAAAACCTGCCCTTCAAGAGGTTAGAAACGAAGCAGTGGCAACTCTATGTGCCATTATGACAACTGAAGAGGGCCTTTGACAAGACTCGGGGGCGAACAGGGATGGGATACTAGGTATAAATTCAGGTCTAAAAGAAGTAAACTTATTGATGAATAAAGGAAAAAGTAAGGCAGTGGGTCTTTAGAGCAGCTAGCGGCCTTCTCTAACCAGAGACGGGGTCTCGGTCCCCTCGTTCCTATACGGGCAGGAATATTCCATCAGTTTTCTGGTACTATCTTCATAGATACTGACCTTTTATTCTCCGAAGCTTTTTTCTTCCTCTAGAGATCTTAAAATAATGAAACCTTTTCCTATGTGGTAATTGCTCTATTTCTTTAGTAACTACAGCTGTCTTAACAGTTGGAGTCTGTTCCTTTAAAAAGACCAGCAAGAACAAATGACAGTCACAATCTTATCATAAGGAAGCTATCAATTATAATAATCTCCTTACAATAAATCATGGATGTGGCTTGTCAAAGAGTGTAATTTTTTCTTTTTCTCTGCTTCCTGATTCAACTGAGAATAAGCAGACAAAATTCGAGCTAAATGAAAAGATACGGTATGTTATACTTTTTCTAACTACAATACAAGGAAAATAAAGATATTACAATCTCCTAATAGAAATAAAAAGTAAAAACAACAACAACAACAACAAAAAAAACCAACCCCAAAACCCAAGAAAGAATACGTGAGAAGGGATCATTCCTGAGATTAACAAATGCTACTTTTGAATTGGTTGGTTCAAGTAATACAGTAAAATAGAAAAGACTATTCCACTTTACTTCAATTCTTGAAGTCAGAAAAAGCACACACGTTTCCCCTTGAAATCCACGGTTGAGAAAAGGGCCAGGCCTGCATGCAGGTCTCTGAAGTTACAGACACAAACAAGGTAGCACGTTCAAGTCCCCCCAAAGACTTTGCCTCATAACGACTCTAGCAGGATAAACAGAGGAGGAGAAGGTCGAGACAATGTCTACCACATGTGGAGTTTACCAGCTAAAAATTAGCAGATAGTCAACATCTCACCAAATTGAAAGGGAATGTTGAGGAAGGTCAGAACTCTCTCTCGATGGTTTTTAACCGAATACATTCGGTAGGAGGGGGGGGTGGAAAGGCGAGGAAGTGGCACCTTCCTTCAATCTTAGAAATGGTTTTCAGGTAATAAACAGGATGACAGATGCCCTACTTATTAGCTAGCCCCACAGTCTCCTTTAGCCAAGGCTTCATTATTTGGAGAAAGGAGAGACGGAATGAGGCAGAAATATACAGCACTCCACTCGTGTGTCTTCCAGACGCACCCTCTGCTGCTGCATGAACGCTGCCTTCTCTTACCCACAGTGACAGTGTGTCATTTAATCGGGACGCCGAGACATCATTTTCATACAAGGCCAGCAGATGTAATTTCCTTTGATGCATGAATAGTTCATCATTTTGCTACTCAATGACAAGGTGATCACAGGGTGACTTTATAACACAAGTTCACTGTTTGGTATTTTGAGTTCTCAAAATGAAAAAAGGATTTATCAAATATAAATATCTTTAAAAAGTAACAAAAGTGCTACATATGTGATCAAGGAAAAAAATTCCATTAGTTACTGCCGCTTAAAGTAGATTAAACTTTACAAATATTACCACATCCATTATCAATATGGCTTCCAATTATTAAATAAATTGCCTGTAGCAATATAGCTTTTCACACCTCTACAAGGACAGAGTAAAGAGAACACCAAAGCAGTCCCATCCCATTGTGTCTCACACCGTCACAATGTGAGTGGTGAGCGTCCCCTGCTTTTTTTCGGCTCCTATTCAGGCAAGTATTTGCATTTGTGATAGTCAGTCAGCATAATCCCACTACAAGGTCTTTGATCAACCTCGTATTAAGGGGGTTTCAGTTAATGGATACAGAAATGCTAAGTTGATTCACTCAGGTTTGACATTAGTTCCAACCTTGAAAGCCTTGATTTTTGGGGAGCAGGAAAAGTGGACCCACACAGGAGGCAAAGGAACATCTCTGATGACTCCTGGACTCTCCAGGCAGGCACTGGCAACTGTGCCATGTGATCTGCAGTGGTTCTGAGAATTGGACTTTCGTACCCATTACACAGTCAGCTCATCGTTTTTCCAATACTCTCAAGCTGGGTTTTGTTCCTTTATGACATTTCCTTTCTTTTTTTTTTCTTTAAATCATGGTCCCAAAGGCAGAAGGCAGTATTTTATCAACTAAGTCACACAGCTTGTGAGCGGAAAGGATGTCTGTGTCAGGCATGTTAACATCAACCAAAATCTGAGATCAAGTTTTCCCATTGACATTCTTAGCACAGCACCCAAAGAAGTATAATCTAGCCACAGTATGACTATAATGAGGCACGGCTTATTGCAGCTGGAAATCAATTCTCCTCATGCTGAGGTGGGGATGCTAGTGTTCCTTTTACTCTGTGAATACTCCCCAAATGGTGTCTGTCAATCCTGTGCCACACAACCTCAGCTTGCATCCTACCAGTCAGTCTTGGGGAAGGAGGAGGGGTTATAGATTAGTGTTACATGACTCTAAAGGTACCCAAGATTTCACACGTAGCCTAATATTGGAGAACTGAGGGCTATCTAAATACCTGGAAGCACTTTCTTGGAATGCTAAGACAGAGCAGCAAGATTTTCTAGCCTCAGGGGCTGGGAGCGAGAAGTTTGTTTGTTTGGTTGGTTATTATTTACTGGGAATTAATACTGAGAGAGTATATGCAAAGGCTGAGGGCACCATGCCATCTTCACAGAACAAGACTCTAACGGCTAACTGACATACAAGAAACTGCAAAGTTATACTGTAAGAACACATGTTAAGGACCGAGGAAAGTCTGCTAAGGTGCTACATCTAAAACTAAGTTAACGTCTTGTGTTTATCCCTCCCTGATCAGTCGTCATCCAGGGCCTCTGTCTTGATTTCGCTGGCCCCTTGTCGGGCCAAGGCCAAGATCGTGTGGTTGACTGCCGCCATTTCCACAGCTAATGAGATGGGGTCTTGGTGGTCACTATGGCTAGTGCTGTCATCCTAAATATATAGAAATAAGAAATAAAATCTCGTTAGTGGATTGCAGAATTCTCCGGCTCACAGAAAGACATGCTGGGGAGTGAGAGGAAGCACAACATTCATGGGAGGAAACCAAGAAGGGGAGGATGTCGTGACAGGAATGAACTGTATTTAAGTAGTCACTGAATGGATAGAGGCCCAGAGACTCCGAGTGGACAATTCCATAATTAAACGCACTATCACGTTTTTTTCATACTGAGAACTTTATTCCATCCTAACGACTGCTAGTGGTGATGACCAAACTTGGCATGAATGCTATAAAAACCAACAATTTGGGACTCTGTTTGAAACAAACAGAGGACTAGTTCTTGAAGGTCATGTAAATGAGCTCTTAATTGGTATTCTTTCAATCAGCTTTTCAGCAGTTAGGATCTATCTATTGAACTGAAGAAATGAAAAGAAGTTTACAACTGTAGACCAACATAGTGTGATGACCAGAACTTAGTTAAAAATGCACTCTTGCAAAAAAGAAAAATAAAAAAGGAAGGTATTTTCAATTATGACAGGTCAAAGGTGTAACCGCCTGAAATGCATGTGGGAGAAGCATGGTGTTCTCCCACTGCAAGGCAGCTGTGTAATGACAGTGGCAGGTATTTTAGTTAGCAGGCAGTGTGAAGCACTCCTTCCACGTACAAGCCCAAGGTGTTAAAAAATAAAGCTGTGAAAGGAAACTGGCATTTTGGGATATATGTCAGAGATGGAAGATGGTGTTACAAATAAGGGTAAGTTTCTCACCTGTCACATCTTCAGGGAAACTCTGTGTTAAAGAACTCTGAAAGAGTAAGTCCCTGAGGGGGAAAAAGTCTTGGATGTGCTACTCTTAGGGCATCTGTGAGAAAAGATGGGATGGACCCAGCTGGAGAGGAAGACTGGGAAATCACAAGACTGCTTCCAATTATAGAAGGACTTAAAGGACATCCTGTTGAGTGAAAGGTCTGAGCTAGAATTTAGCATCCTAACAGGAAGAAAAGTTAGCTCTTAGAAGTGTGGGTCCCATTTTACTCTCATTTTCATAGATAAGGCTTCATAGTTAATTTATAAAGGATCAGTGTAGAAATGCAGCAAACTTGCAGTGTTTGCTTGACCTGGTGGACAGAAGCTCCAGAACAGTCAGGTGAAAGAAACTGGGGACAGTACTAGGTCACAGTGGGCTGTACTGGTGAGCTGGCTAGGGAACAAAGAAAGGGGTGAGCACCTGGGAAAGACTGGGGTCGAGGCCACGGCTTCTCTTCCTATTCCAAAAGGAAAGAAATTTCAAAGCCTATAAACACATTGAATAAATCTGGGTGGGTGTTAGTGTGAACACTAACATTCTTAGTAATTATTCCATCCAGTGGCTACAATTAAATACGATTTCCAAGCAATGAGGAACACATCATGGTGAGAGGGCAAGACATGCACGTATTTGCAGCGATGAAAGGATCTGTGTCAGCGTGCCAGGGAAGACTCTGGAAGAACCACTCATCTTGGCACGAGGGTTCCTACGGCAATGGGGCCATAGTGGGTGACTGGCCATTGCGTCCTGTATTGGTACATGTTTAGGAATGGATTACAGCTACCCAGTTGCCCCTAGATTTCTCAAACATTGAGTGTGTGTGTGGTGAATGGTGTAACTTGCTTGTTTGGATCAGATCCTCCTCTCTTCTTCTACCTTCTCTGCTTCTCTGCCTCCCTCTGAACTTCTTCCCTCCTCCTCCTCCCCATTGCGTACTTGCCAAGTATCCTGTTGTATGACAATAAATCCATGTGGGTGAATAGCGATTTCTCACAAATTCAAGAGGACAACTAAATCTTACCACATTCCCTTCAAATTACATGAAAAGCTATCTAGACCCATGAGCAGAGTGGAGGGACATTAGACTGCTTCTCCTCCCCCACCCCACACGGTCCCATCCACTCTGTAACCGAGAGCCTCCGCTCAGGTGCTCACCTGCTCTGAGTAGTCATTTCCGTCGACGTCATCACTGTTGGAATGACCTCCTGGACTCTGTACATCTATCCCATGACTCTCCAGGATTGCTGCTTCTTCGAAAAAAGCAAATGGATCCCTAAATTATCTGTTACATTACTATCATGCTGAAATGGCAAATTAACTTTTGTTGCTGAGGAAATGAAAATGTAAATAAACAAGGAATTCCTCTACTTCATTTTTCTCTTAAATTGCAGAAAGAGGAAATGCAATCGCATACAGTTCAGGGAGACACGCTTTTGCCATTGTGGAATGCCCACTGCTCCCTGTGTGAGGCTGGAGAAGCTGATTGTTAGGTGTCTAATCAGTATCTGTTAACTAAAGGGCTATCTGGTCCTGGAGACCCCAGTTTTGAAGGGGTGTGTATTTAGTATTTGGGAACAATAAAGAGTAACAAGAAGTAATTTGACAAGTAAAATATAATCATAGAACGTCACAGCCAACCCCTATGTTGCAAGGAGGGACTGGTTCTTGAAGAGGGAGGTTATGCTTGGGAGGGTGGAGGGACAGGACAAGAGAGGAAGACCCTCGATGAGATGGATTGATTCAGTGACTGGGGTAATGGGGGTAGGTGTGTCAGAAAGAATAAGGTTGGTTCAGGATTGAGCAGGGTTCAGAGCTGCTGTACATATGGCTGCTACGAGTCCCAAGTGATTCGACAGCACATAACAACAATAACAAACAATGTTTTGCTTATATCCTACCTTCTGTCATGTCCCTTGTCTATAGCCTCTTTGGTTCCAAGTTCTTTTATTTAGATATTTCTTAAATTCTTAGTTATAGGCCAGAGAGAACACAGAATTAGCTATCATATTCCCTCTATCACACCCCTGTCAGTTTCTTTAGCGCTGTTACAGAAGTAATCTGCCTAGGGCCACCTAAGCAATTTAATTTTATATTTTAAAATATGAAGAGCAAAGAGTTTTATAAATAACAATGTTACTATTATAGTAATACAAGTAGGATAATTAAAACTTCTCTTCATTCATTAAAACTAATTTAAGATTACTGCTACAAACATCTAAACCTATAGTGTCTAAACTGCACTCTTAACTCCAAGCCCTGTGGCTGCTCCGCGAGGAGAAAGCAGCCGCGCTGGTACATTACCGATATTGGCTCTCCTCTTGATCTCCTTCCGCCTGTTGGCAAACCAGTTATATACTTTCAGGGAGGTAACTCGTTCCAGATCAGACAGCTTTTTGCCTGTAAATGTATGCAATAACCTTTAGACAGTTTATATACATAACCTAAGAATAAATATGTTTCAAGGGCTAATACTCCATTCTTTAAAAAAGATTTCTTCCTAGCATTACCTAGTATGAGGCATAAATTCAAATACGAGTAAATGAATAAATACATTAATGAATAAAATACCAGCTTCTTGACATGCTTTAATTTAGGAAGCCCTTCACATTAAGGAATTTCACAAAGCCAGTCTAAACTGAGTATCTGAATAGAGTTCATTATCAAGAAGGATTCAATTGATTAGGATAATTCCAGAAGAACATGATCATCTCAGTCAGGTTTCCAGATAACTGCAGTTTACATCCATTTCTAGGCCTTACAGTAAATGTTTCTTGCTGGTCACTGTCATCATCAACTGTCCTAACTATGTTGGACAATATAATCTATGTTGAGTGGCAAAAATGATCATACTACAGATTTATTACCTTTTATTACACTGTCAAAAATAAAACTGATGAACATTATGCTTGCCAATTAAAGTCCTACCTCTACTACTTCCCATTGTCCCTGTCCTTTTCCATTTTCAGCTTTTAATCTACAGAGGGCTGTGAAATCAGAAAACAAGTTTGCATGGACTGGCGGGTACAGGGTAGCATGTTTGCTAGAATTAGTTCAAGCTCCTGTATGGCTTCACGGCTGAAATCCGGAGATGGATGTTCTTCATTAAGGGGCTGAGTTCATAGGATCTAGATTGCTAGAATTCTGATTTAACGGTTAAGGGAGGACTAACTGCTGTTTGACCATTAAAATAACCAAACAAATGGAGAGCAACCTGTATCCTGAGAATGGTTTTTGCTAATAAAAATTAGAAAATATAGGATATTAGTACATGGAATAAAATATGTATGAATTGCTAAAATGTCTCTGTTGACTTGCATGGAAACTGTAAGATAGAATTAAAAACAAAATTCCTCACTTTTCCCTAGATAAGCAGAAGTTATCCCAGTATGTGATGAAGACAGAAGGCAAATCCCTCCCCACAAAAAAATCCTTCCCCAAAGAAAAACACAAATTGTATAATTTGTAACAAGTAAAAAAAAAAACACACCCAACAATTCAATCTTTTATTAACATTTAAAATTATTTTAAACTATAAAGTTGGTGCTTAATTTATTTATTTGTATTATAATTCTGTAGAAAGAAATCTATATATTCCTTGAAAAAATATCAAAGCATCACATCCTACGCAAGGTGACTGCTTGGAAAGTTTGTAAAGTGAGGACTGGATTTTCAATGTCATCACAGTTTCTCTGACAAGTACTGTTTGAACTGAATAGGGCACTGACAGCCAGCAGAAGACGGAACAGATTGAGCTTGAAGCGCCAAGGTGTGAAAAATAAGATGAGATTCAGTGTCCTGATGCTGGTTTGTAACTGAGGGCTCCACCACAGAGCAAAGCTGTGTGGGCTAACTCACCTGGCTTCTGTATAACTGCATTGCAAGCATTTGCAATTTCTTCTCTTTTTGCTTCATCTGGGTATTGATTCTCATTGAAGTAACTGTAAAGACAACCAATAAAATAAATGTACACAGTGTAGTCCCCCCTCCCAAAAATGTACTATTAATAAACACTAACTCACTGAAAAATATGATGCTTTAATTAAAGTGTCTAGACCAGGTTGTCCAAAGGAACTTACCGCGATGATGGAAATGGTCTTTTCGGTGCTGTGCAATATGGTTGCCATTACAAAGGTGTGGCTGTTGAGTGCCAGTGTGATGAAGAGTGGAACTTTTCATTTAAACTAAATTTAAAGTAGCTACATATGCAAGGAGAGGGTCGGCAAAGGAGAGAAACACCTTTAACCAGGTGGACTGATAGTGACTGCTGCACTGGGCTCTAGTGTGTCAGGAAGTGTGATGACGGCATAGCGTAAAACAAGGTTCAGATCCGCTGTTCAAATCATTGCTATGGGTCATAATTGACTTGACAGCACCTAACAATAACACATGACTAGTTACTATTATAATATACATCCCAAGTCTAGCCACTGATGTGCTTCATAACTCGGGAGGGATCAGAGAGCATTATGCTAAGTGAACAAACTCAGTCCCAAAAGGACAAATAATGTATAAGACCATTACTGTAGAACGAGTATGAGGATCCAAGGGAGGGAGAGGAGTGTAGAAGCAGAGGGATAAGGATGTGCAGGGGTGAGGGGAGGATTAATCATGGAGTTGTACAATTTGATAGGTGGAGGGAGGGGTGGGTTAAGGAAATGGGAAAGATCCAGTGTGAGAAACAATATATAAGAACTTTCTAAGTAAAACTAGTATAAGATAAAAAAAATTATATAGATAGATAGACAGATAGATATAGATATCATAAAAACTTTTGTAGGTATGGCTGACTGAAGACACAGAATTGTGTTACTTACCTGAAGCACTAATACCAAGATCATGTTTATTTTTTAGGATTGTATTATTTGTACCACATGTGTCCTATACCAACACAATGGCAGAATGAACTACTTCACATCTACATGTATACATAGCTTTAAAAAAAGTCTTTTAGAAATAAATTACCGCTCTAAGGATTGACAACAGGGATCTCTACGACAGATTTCAAAGTAAGAGAAATTAAAAAAAAAAGTTTATGTGGAAATACCATTTTTTACTTTAAAAAAATTTCTATAAGGTTATGTGGACAGAAGCTGCAAAAGTGCACATCAAGTTGTGAATATCAACCACTTCATTTTAAGGCAAAAACATAGTGGAAGAGCTTAAAAACATTTTATCTTTTCAATCTTTCATGTATTAAAGAAACCCTCAATTTTATAAAGAGCACTTATTAAAAAATTACTTTTATGAAACCCATCCATACAAAGCATTACCAGAACTGAGACTTTCTGTCAGTTAAGAGTTTAAAAGGGGGGAGGGGGGACTTAGCAATATAAATATCATGTTGTTGTTATGTGCCATCCACCTGCCTGAGACTCAACAGCTCAGCTCTGAAGGCTGCCCTATTCTGAGTCAGTCTCACTGACTCTGACACACCTACCCCTCATGACCACATTAACTGTATCAATCCATCTCATCCAGGTCTTCTTCTGTGCCGTTTCTCCATGGACATGAGCACGTCTCTCCTGACCACGTGCTCAAAGTATGTGAGACGGAGCTGAAGGTTATTAAAAAATGGCTAGAACAACACATCAATAGAGAGCTGTTAGATATTCAAGCTGGATTCAGAAGAGTTTGTGGCACAAAAGATTATCACTGCTGTTGTCAGACAGACCTTGACTTACAAAATACCAGAAAGATGTTTACCTGTGCTTTATTGACTAAGCAAAGGCATTTGACTGTGAGAATCCTAGAGCACTGAACTGTGCTCGTGAGAAACACATACAGACCAAAAACTTGGAGTCTGAACAGAACAAGGGAGTAAAGCATGGTCTCAAATCAGGAAATGTATGCACCAAGGTTTGTTTCCTATCTCCAGACCTATTCAATCTGTGTGCAAAACAAATCAGTCAAAAACTTAGACAATATGAAGAATAATGTGGCATCATGATTGGAGGAAGAATGATCAACAACTCACATGCTATGCAAATGACACAGCTTTTGCTTGCTGAAAGTGAAAAGCACTTGAAGAATTTGCTGCAGAGTATCAAAGACTCAGTATGGGTTACATCTCAACATTAAGAAAACAAAAACCCTCATCAATGGAAGTTGTCAACAATTTAATATTACTTGAAGTTACAATCAAGATCCAGAGTAAGAGCAGCCAAGAGATAAAAGGAAGTGCTGCATTGGGGAAAGCTGTTGTCAAGAACCTCTCCAAAGTGCTAAAGAGCAAGGATATTCGTTTAAAGACTAAGGTGCACCTGATCAAAGCCATGATGTTTTCAATGACATGCTCTGCATGTGAAAGCAAGACAATGAATAAGGATGACGAAGCAGAATGAATGTCTTTGAATTGTGGTGCTGGAGAAGAACACTGAATATCTCATGGACGGCTAAAAGAACAAACAAATCTGTCTGTCTTGGAGGAAGTATAAATAGGTGCTCCTTAGAGGCAAGGACAGTAAAATTTCATTTCGCGTGCTCTGGGCATGTTGTCAGGATGTACCAGTCCTTTGAAAAGGACATCATGCTGGGAAAGATTGTGGCTCAGAGAAAAAGACGACGACTTTCCACAAGATAGACTGACACAGTGACTCTACAGAGGACCTTGAGTATATCAGAGATGGTGAGAATGGTGCAGGATAGGATAAGGGTCTTGTCTGTTGTTCACAGGGTCACTGTGAGTTGCAGTTGACTCCACAGCACCTAACAACATCACACTTTGGTTCTGAAAATTTTAAGAGGGAGTGTTCATGTAAAATTTTATTCCTAACATCTTCTCAGGGGTCTGTCTCTACTCTATAATCTAGCCTTTCCTACTCCCTCATTATTCCTGCCTATACAGGTGGAAATTTACCTCAGAAAACCACTGTAGGCTTCTATCTTTGGAAGCCTCATGGTAAGAAACTGCATTGCAATCCCAAAGGCATGTAGTTTGAATCCACTAGCTGCTCTGTGGGAGAAGGATGGGCAATCTCCCGTGCGGGTAAAAGCCTCTAAACACCCTCTGGAAGATCAGTCTGAGTTGGTTCTGACTTGATGACATATAACAAGTACCACTACTGGTCTCAGGCTACCCATTACCAAACTAGTACTTACATATGAACTGTTCTTTTCAAATGTAGAAATTCTGTAACTTTACTAACAGAAGAGCATTGTTAAGCAAGTTAATATCTAACCCTATATAAAAACTTAATGACCACTCTCGAGAGAGATGCAGTTTTGGAGGGGAATCTCACTGTCCTCCCAGATCTGTAATAAAGTGCTTACTGATATTGCAATCCATCTGTCTTCCTGGCAATTGACTATGGAAAGAAGCCCTTACATTCAGTAATAGCAGTACTAATGTAGTCTGTAGGGAGCTGCACTGCTGTCAAAAAGGCAGTATCCTCTGGTGATGTGAATTCACCAGTAGCTCCACGCGCCCTCTATGTGATTTCCAGCCTTCTGAAAACCTGCTGGAGGGTCAGCTATGAGTTGGTTCTGAAACAGTTTTGCTTCAATTTGCTAGAAGTAATGCATTCAGTCTATACTTCAGATTTTACTGAATCAGAATACAAATGTTTAACCAGGTGACGTGAATGCACATTAAATTCTGAGGCATATCCAGTTAGTTCATTCATTCAAAATTCAACAAGAAGGCAGATACTAAATACCTAAATAGTATGTGATATGCAATTTGGGTAAAGAAGAGAAACAGTTTCTGACTTCAGGGAGTTTACAATCAACTGGGAAGCTAGATACACATATACGTACTCTTATAAAATGAAATAGAGGCATGCAGAGTACTGTAATTGAACAGATGAAGGGAAGTTCAATGTTGTTTGCAGGAGCTAAAGAAGACTTCAGAGAAAGTGATATGTGAGCAGGAATTGAAGAAATGGAAGGGACTGTAAGGTGGAGAACAGGAAGAGCATTTCACACAACTGGAACAGCATGAGCCAAAGTAAAAAAAAGCAGAAAAAGCGTTGAGGAATCTAGGAACAGAGAAGAATTCTGTGTGACTGGAAAGAACATGGGCCTTATTTTAAAAAGTGGTATCTTGGCCTGGAAAGGTAAAATGAGGTCTGAACAACCTTGTCTGTTCTACAAGGAATAAAGACTTTATCCTAAAGGAAACGGGGAGCACCAGAGGTTTCCAACATACGCACACAGCTACTCATCTGTGCTTAAGAGAGCAAGGAGATCTTCAGCTTGAAGGTTCAATTCTTAGAATTTGATCCTCATGATCTTAAATTGTGGAAATGCCCTATACTCCTATCACTCCTTCATCTCTTTCTCCCTCTTCTTCTTTTTTTAAAAAAGTACTAGTTTTTCTACCTTGGATATTTTGGTCTTATCTCTTTCATTTCTCCTTTCTACAGAAGGAGAGTCTTCTATAGTAGGCCACATAAACAGTGTTCAGGGAAGAAACTTAGATTATCTAGCTTTCCTACAAATCCACTGTAGCTGTCCAGTCAATCTTGTTTTGCACAAAGTATCTTTTATTTCTTTTCTTCCAACTTTTTCTCAGGGTATCAAATATTTCTGGGCAGTTATGAAAGCGAGCCAATTGGTATCTTTGTAAAATTACGTTTTTTTAACCTTAACTAGGCCTAACTTCTGCTGGAAATGTTTTTACTATTTTCTAAACAACTGCCTTTCATAGGATCTCTTTATACTAAATTCACTGGAAATGGAGTTTAGGGCTGTTGTGCATAGGGTTGCTATGAGTCGCAGGCATCTCGACGGCACATAACAACAACAACAACAACAACAACAACAACAACAACAACAACAAATCCCAAGCTCTCAAGTTTTTCACAGTCACTCAATTTTTGCATAGGAGTTTATCTTCTCTTTTACCAAGAGGAATTTTATTTAGTAGGAATTTGATTAATTTTTAAGCTTCTCACTTTTCCCTGAAACACTGAGTATTCTTTTCGCAGCAGGGTAAGAT